ATGAAACAAATGTTTTTTTTTTATAGGATAGGGTGACAAACGAGCACACAGTCCACCTGATGGTAAGTGGATGCTGTGGCCCGTAGACATCTACATCTATCCTCGTTTGCGAATCAAAATGCAGATTCGTTGACACCCATGAGGACTAAGATGGAATGCCACTTTTCCAGTAAAAACGGTCTCCGGTTCTCTACACTCACCATTCGGAACACAGCAGCATTAAGCTGCTATTTTACGCTGGTATTCTGTGAGACCGTGGTCCTTCCCCGGTCGAGCCGACCCATTCGTGATACAACTATACTATTAATATAGCTGCAGCATGGTCCTACCACGTGTTTTCTTGTTCTCCTGTAATTTTTTGTAAAATTGAGTTTCGCCCCTTTGCGGCACCAACGACGAATTGTTACTTTATACTACATTGTAGAACATTGTAGGAAATACTATCCACGTATGCCACGCATATCTTTCTAATACAGTGTGTCCTATCCTACTAGGTTAGCCTCTATATCTCTAGCACAATTGATAGTATCTAGGAGTTGTAGCTATGCGTGAAATTGGTCGAGAGGACGTCAACATCATACGTTTGTATTCTACCACAATTGATAAAGAATCATATCGATTACTTCAAAATATTAAATTGTTTACGAAGCGACATTTCAACCGCACAGGATGCGACCAGGATATTAATGTACATACGCTCATTGATGCATTGCAAAAAGGAAATCGTATTTCAGTTTATTGGTATGTTAACGATTAATTGGGTAAAGAGATGAGCGAGTTTGTTTTACGCTAAATAAGTTTGCTCTTAATACATTACTAATGTTATATTTAACATTATTTCTGCCTTCATTGGAATGTAATGTGCGATAATTTTTTTTTTAATAAAATTGAGAGTCGATTTTAAAGAATTAAAATTAATAAAATAATTTTTATACTCGTAAAATATTTTCCTAAGTCTTTCTGGGACTTTCCTTTTTCTATACTCTAGTCTTAGCACCATTACTATACACTAGTCTTTTGGTCTAAGGAATGACTATTACTACTAAGTACTATCAACTACAATGTCGTTTAAATTGTTGGCTTAATAAATCATCTTCTATTTTTCCACCTCATGTATAGCCTATTGAATGAAATAGAACCATCTAAATCCATTCACAATAGATGAATATATATTGCGTATTTAACATACTCGTATGTACAAAAAAGTATCTAGGTACAGTTGAATTGAGAACCTGTTCCTTTTTTGAATTCGATTGAAATGCACCAACATCTTTTTGAGATATATTTCAATATAATATATATAACGGCCATATAATAAAATTAACCACCAATGTAATAAAGTACTTGCTTGTTCGAATTAGCAAGCAGGTATCGAGAGATAAATATCCCTGCCGAGAAATGGGTCTCATAACACTGTAAGATTAATGTTCTAAGTAGGGTTGCCCTCCTTTTTTTAAACAAATACAGGATTTTTTCCAAAAAAGATGCTAAAATATAGTACTTTTGGGAAATTTAGGAAAAAAGTACACAGTCATTTTTAATCTTTAGGTATATTTCCGTATATTAATTATAGGAATCAGAGCAATTTAGATTGATGTTAAAATAAAGTAACCATTCATTTTTAATTAAATTAATACATGCTCTATATCTTTCTTCTTATCATTTTACATTCATGACGGATTTTTTTTCCGTAAAACTTACTTGTTCCAGACTTGCAGCTACAGTTAATATAAAAAGAACGACAGTTGAATTAGGGATAAGAATATAGTTTTTCGTACTATATTATAGTATAATTGACTGAAATATAATACGTTACTGTACGTTGCTGTATATTATAGTACGGTTGGCAACCCTAGTTCTAAGTAGCATTAATCTAGAGAAGATGAGGATAAACAAATTTACTTTGCGCAACTTTTTTTTTGTAGAGTCACAACAAAGAGTACACAGTTACGTACATATGTATTGACATCATAATTATTATAACTAAATGTCCCATTACTTACAGGAGGGCACCACATGCATAATTAGTAAACGTTACGATGATGTAGCAACAATAGATAGGTACTATACAACTTTAAGTTTTTTTTTTATAGAATTAGAGTGGCAAACGAGCACACAGTCCACCTGATGGTAAGTAGTTGCTGTGGCCCATAGACATCTACATCTATCCTCGATTACGAATCACAATGCAGATGCGTCGTCAGCCGTGAGGACTAAGATGGAATGCCTCTTTTCCAGTAAAAATGGTCTCCGGTTCTCTACACTTACCATACGAAACACAGCAGCATTAAGCTGCTATTTTACGCTGGTATTCTGTGAGAGCGTGGTTCTTCCCCGGTCGAGCCGACCCATTCGTGCTACATCTATACTATTAATATAGCTGCAGCATGGCTCTACCACGTATAAGTGACAATGAACTCTCATAAAGGCCCCAAATAACGCTTTATTACTTATTTTAGTATTTTTTCAGATGTTGTTCTCGCATCGAAACTATATAATGTTATTGTCGCCGAGTGCCAGAACAAACTTGTATCTGAAGTCGAGTCTTTGCTGAACAAAGTCTCGGATTGGGGGTGACTAAATCTAGTCCAGTTTAATCCTTAGAAGACACAAGTTTGCGCGTTTAACGCTAAAAAGAACCCCTTTGTCGTATCTCCTCAAGGCACTCCCCTTCTTGCCTCAGCCAGTATCGGAATCCTTGGAGTCGACATATCGAGTGACGTGCAGTTTCGTGGTCACCTGGAAGAGAAGGCCAAATTGGCCTCTAAAAATCTTGGCGTGCTCAGCAGAGCGGGACAGTATTTCATGCCGGCACACCGACTGCAACTTTACAAGGTGCAGGTTCGGCCTCACATGGAATACTGTTCCCATCTCTGGGCCGGGGCTCCCCAGTGCCAGCTCCTTCCACTTGACCGCATCCAGCGCAGAGCGGCTCGAATCGTCGACGACCGAGTCCTTTCCAATCGGCTTGATTCATTGGTACTGCGAAGAGATGTTGCATCTCTTTGCATTTTCTTTCGCATTTTTTTGTAAATTATAATAAAATACTAGTAATGCTATCAAATATTACTAATATTCCCTTTAACCACTTCTGGTAAGCTTAAAATGCTTGTGTTAGAAGTGGTTCACGACAGTAGTCGAATGGCGGATTCGAACCCACGACCTTTCGAGTTCGCGGTCCGCGTCCTGCCATTAGGCTACTGGGCACTTATTTACCACGGGGAGTGCTCTGAGGAATTGTTCGGATTAATCCCAGCCGCCAAATTTCACGAACGCACATCGCGGCAGAACTGCCGATACCGTCCACATCATCTGGATGATTGGCGGTCCACCACTGTGCGATTTAGAAGATGTTTTCTTCCTTGTACAATTTCCTTGTGGAATCGATTACCATCAGCGATTTTTCCGGACCGATACGACTTAGGGACCTTCAAGAAAAGAGCCTACTCCTTTTTAAAGGGCCGGCAACGCATTTGCAATTCCCCTGGTTCCCCTGGTGTTGCGGTTGTTCATGGGCGGCGGTAGTCACCATCAGGTGAGCCGCATGCTCGCTTGCCCCCTCTCCTATAAAAAAAAATGTTATTCGTCGCAACATATTTTATATTGTATAGTGTTAGTTATTGTTGGAAAAAAGTCTCGCGGCGTTTCTTCTTGATTCTTCTCAGATCAGAGGCTTTTCCCGAACCAGTGGTAAACTTAAAAAATGACTTTCAATAAGAATTACTTTTAATTTATAATGAACTAGCTGTTTCCCGCAACTTCGCTCGCCTAATAGGGTTTTTATGATTTTGCGCGGAACCCTAATTATTTTTCTAAAATAAAAGTAGCCTAAATTACTCCTTATAACATCAGCAATCTACCAGTGAAAGTCCTGTCAAAATCAGTCCAGCCGTTTCGAAGATTAGCCGGAACAAACAGACAGACAAAAATTTTTAAAATGTCTTTTTTGTTATAAGTACCGTATATACTTCCCTATGTATTAAGTAAAAAGCTGTTATTTTGATATTACAAACAGACACTCCAATTTTATTTATTTGTATAGATAAAAAAATATTCTATTCATCGTTGACAGAAACGATCTAGTGCTATAGCACATGCACTTCATCTGTTGTATCGCCACTCTTAGTTGGCGGACTAACGATAGAATAGAATAGAATGATTTTTATTCAATATAGATTATTACATTATACTTATTGAAAGTCATTTTTTTATTTACCACTGTTTCGGAAAATGCCTCTGTCCTGGGAAGAAGCAGCAAGAAACCCAGCGGGTTTATTTATATTTTTGAAACATATATAGAACCATGCAATAATTTTGTACGTTTTTTTATTATATTTTTCGAATTGTAATAGAACCAGCATGGTAGCGATCACCTCATTCCCAGGGGTTATGTATATTTTGATATTATAATAACTTTTTTGTTCAATTTTTTTTAATAAAACTTAAACTTGTTGATTGACAAACTTTGAAAATTTTCTAGGATTTTGTTGTAAAACCGTATACATTGCCCCATAAATGAATTACTAATTCTGTGGAGTCTAGTAACTGGCATTATAAGCTTATGTTTGTTCCTAGTGTTTAAAGTACGAACATTTTCGACCATATTCCCTAAATACACGTGATACTTTTACACGTGGTAGAGCCATGCTGCAGCTATATTAGTAGTATAGTTGTAGCACGAATGGGTCGGCTCGACCTGGGGAGGACCACGCTCTCACAGAATACCGGCGTAAAATAGCAGCTTAACACTGCTGTGTTTCGTATGGTGAGTGTAGAGAACCGGAGCCCCTTTGTACTGGAAAAGAGACATTCGATCTTAGTCCTCACGGGTGACAACGCATCTGCATTTTGATTCGCAAACGAGAATAAATGTAGATGTTTATGGGCCACAGAAACCACTTACCATCAGGTGAACTGTGTGCTCGTTTGTCACCCTATCCTATAAAAAAAAAACACAATGTAAGAAGTTTAAAACATATGACATAAAATGTATGCCCTAGGTTGTTTCGCACGAGCAAGTGCGCGCTGGCATCGTTGTACGCGACGTTCCGTGACGGACATACGCCGGCGCGGCGCTTCCTCGTCGCAGCGCTGCACGCGCCTGTCATGGCTGTCCTCCATGAGGACGAGTTCTTCTTGGACATCGACCCCGACAAGGCTATGGAGAGGTGAGTAAATTTAACCTTGTTAACATTTTTCGAGTAAGTTTATAATATATATATAAAAGTTAAAGTTACAGCCTATATACGGCCCACTGCTGGGCACAGGCCTCATCTCATTTGTGAGAGGGTTTTAGGGCAAGGAAATGTTTGCCGCGCTGCCGCAATGCGTGTTGGCGAACTTCACATGTCTTCGATATTTTTTATTTCTTATTTCTCAGACATGCAGGTTTCCTCGTGATGTTTTCCTTCACCGAGCACGTGGTAAATTAGCACTTAAAATTGCAATTAACAATTTAATTGGTGCCGGTGGGGATCAAACTCGGGTTGCTAGCTTACTGTGAAATTTACAGTGAGCCCTAACCATCTAAGCTACCACGGCTCAGATATAATAAAAATACTTCTCCCAAAAACACTTGGAATATTTCTTGTCTTGCTTCCTTTAAATATATAATATGTAAACGCGTAGGATTAGGATCATATGCCGTTATTTAGACGTAGGATATCGTCCGATGTATGACGTAGTGGTGGCGTGATCTTTAGGTCCGTTCTAGCTACTAATTTACTCGCCACAAATACATATGCAATGTCACTCCAGAGGCTTAAGATAGAATGCCTCGCTGCCAGTTAAACACTGGTGTCCTGTGAGTGCGTGGTCCCTCCCTGGTTGTCCACCACCAATAATACAATCTAATAACAGCTTTAGCGTGAATCGAACACGTAAAACACTACTAGTAATAGTGACGGCCGCTGAAATAAAAGCATTAAGTTGCGGTACTGAAGGATGCAGGTTTGAATCTCGCACGGATCATGTGTTTGAATGGCCTGAAAACTATCGTACCGGGTCTATATGTTTTTCCCCGTGTGCAATTTAAGTTTGTTACTACCTACACGGTAAAGGAGAAAATCCTATTATGGGAGTATTTTTTTTAAAATTAATTAACTTACAGATTTTCAGCGTCAGATCGTATAAAGAAATTCGGTCAAGCAAACAGCAGTGAGTACTCGACGAAAGTCGCCCGATACCGCAAGTGGACTGTACAGTCGCTGTACAACCTTACCAGCAAGTTCATCGTGTCCTTGAAGGAACATTGGCCCAACTTCCCCGCAACCATCGCTTGGATTGTACAGCAGATTGTACATTTGTTGAAGCAGCATTCGAGGTAAAGTTCGTTTCGATATGTGATCTTCAGTTTGTTAAGTTATTGTTCGGATTGAATCATGTATGTAATGCCGGCTATACATGTTGGCCGAGCGAAGGCGAGTACCAACGTATAGACAGCCCATTTATTTGTATAGTCTAGCCATTGCTCGTCGTCGCTCGCCTAGCTGGCTGAGTACAGGCGAGCGCCAGTGTGTATACGGTTCGCTTGTAGTGCCTTGCGACCACTCGGGATCGCCCATCACGACTCGTCTCATTTCGGAACAGTGTCGGTTTTGATGCACAGATCAAAGGCGCTCGCCTACAAACGGCAAGTTGCGTCTACATGTTAGTTGGCAATGTCAGTATGTTCACTAGTTCAAACTTGGCCAACATGTACACTGTAAGCACTAGCCTTGTATTAATGTGCCTAAGCTCGCGTTGGCTCAGACTTGACCAACATGTATTGCCGACTTAAGTGTATAAAAGCGAGTGTAAGTACGATTACGTATGCATGTGAGTCTTTATAATAGTTAAAAATATAATTTGTTCAAAGCAGTTGTAAATAAACCACGTCGAAGTCATCACGTCGGCCTGTCACCAAATTACCCGCAAATGAAAGTGAACCTTAAGATCTTGTAGACTTATATTTATTCGTTCGGTGTAAGAAAATATATGAAAAATTACAGCCTATACACATACCACTGTTGAATAAATTGTTTACCACTTCTAAGTTATATCGTTGTCACGAAATGTCATTATCGCATTCTCTCAGCAGCTGTAGTGTAGTAACATATTTTAGAATTTTTTTTTATTCGCTACTCTACTGCCAAAGGAAACTAGTTTTTACGGATTTTATCGCGTATATTAACTTATTTTATATTCCCAACGTTTCATAAGTGTTCGACGTCTCAATATCATAGTTAACCACGGTTACCCTTATTGCATGCTTTAAGCAAAGAGAATATAACCACTACGTTTAAGAGGCGGGATTTCCATGGTAAAAGTAAATGCATGAAAATACGCCAAGCTACTCTACCAACATCAAGATATGACAATGACATTTAGTTTTGATAAACAGTGTTGACAACATTGACGAATTACAATAGTGTTGTGAATGTCTATCCTGGAATAATTTTATCGATATAACCTTTATCGATATATTGTTTATCGATATTTTTAAATAATAAAAGTAGATCTCTATACTGAATTATTTATGAGAAATAAATTTTTAACGCGGGGATTGAGTAAAAATTCCGATGAGAATAAGAAATCAATGTATTTTACACACAGCAATTTGTAATTATATCTCTACAATTAGGTACAAAAATATGTATAAAGAAAATATAAAATAAAAAACGCACTAGTATACTAGTAATTAATTAAGTAAAAAATAAACGACGACTCCGCAGCGCAGTGGCTAAGCGTTTGGCTGCGGCATTGCAGGACCGAGGCTTCGTTCCCGCGCTGAACAAGTGTTGCTATGCTGTAAAATAAATAGTCTGCGTCTGGATGCTTGTTTTCAACGTTTGTTTTTTAACAAATACTATGTACAAATCGCTAGGCTTCTTCACAGAGGTACCTATTATGTACATACTATTTGCTGAGATCGTTTACTAATTGTCGCTTTCAAAATTAGTGCTCATTATAGCTAATGTTGATGAGATGAATCTATAAAAAAATATTTATAACCAGGTAATTACAAATTAGGAATAAATACATCTTAAAATTAATTATATACAATATTAAAAACTATAATAATAAAAAAAAACTAAAACTAGAAACTTAATTATTATATAGTCCTACTCCCCGCGGTATCGTTCCAAGAACGCTGGCTGCGTTTCCACGTTGAATGGCTATACTTAGAATTTGAGCGAGAAAAGAACCAGCCCTCTTATCACCAGCAGCAACGACCAGTCGCGGATGGAGTTCCTTTAGGAACTTCACCGCACGTGGACCCCACGGACCGATAGTCTCTACAGCAAATGGCACAAATATGTAGTCATCTCTCAGAGACTCATATTTGCGCCGTTTACTCAGTTCAGCTGCCTCTGATGCCGCCCCGGCTCTAAACGTAACGTCCGTAAACAAATACAAACAACTTTGAGTTTTTATTTATATAATCGAATTCTTATCAAAATGTGACTTTAGGGGAATATTATCTTTTGCTACATATAAATGAAACATAGTTAAGATACACATAATTGTGGAAGTTTAAATTAAGTCCACTGATGAAATAACAGTTCGTTTTAGTTGGGTTCAAATGCAATGTTTGCCACAAATATGTTTTAACAGTGCATGTGCCAGCTATTTCACCCATTGCTTGCATCTGAAAAAATAATATAAATAAAATCACATTTTTATTGAACAAATAGAATGTTAGCAGTCACAATTGACTGTGTAGTTTCTATTTATAGTTCGTTTCGGATTGTCATACCATCGAACTATCAGATTTAGGAAATAGTGTGTTTGTATTGTGCACACAATCGTACACCATAAAAACTTGTTCTACGTAGATAGCTAGTCCAAAAATTTATTAAATTTGAAATCACCACATACCTTTCATCATCTAAGGGAAATATTGCTACAAATAGCCTTTTCTTGTTATAATTTTTTCCACTTCTTGCACCATTTAATTGGAAAGATTTATAATGCATATTTATCTTTGAAAAATTCTGTAAATGAACAATGGCTCCTATAGCAAAATTAAAAGAAATCTTAATAAATAAAATGTATATAAATATAATTGTTTGATTTGACATTTGAACCTATTTGATTTGACAATGTCGTTAATAGACATATTACGAAAAGCAGAAAGAAGAGATAACCGTCATTAAAATTTGACCCCTGTAGTACATATAATTTTTACTATGGAAGTTGCGCCAGCCTGGCCTTAAGCGCGAAGCGCGCAGGTATGTTCTGCTAGGGCCTAAAAATTAGGATTCCAACGTTTTGTCGAATGAAATCGTATCTAGCAATCATATTATACATATAAATGATATAAAAAGCACATTGTCAGAAAGATAAATGATTGTTGAACTTATTAATATATTTTTTAAATCGATGAATTACTATTATTACATAAAAAAACGGTTTTAGTGGCTTACGGTGTGGATTTATCAAGTCCGCATAGCGGCGTAAACACGATAACTTGAAAATATCAATTGTTCAACTCATTCTGTTTTTAAAACTCTTCATCTATCATGTGGGAAGCCATGGAATGTAAATGGCAGTTTAGTTTTGTTTTGTTTAGTTATAATTAATTTTTTTCGGCTAACATGGCAAAGTTTTCGGTGGTTTGAGAGCCTTGTATTAATTTATTTTACTAAATAGGCCGCAGCCGCACTCCGAGAAACAGCCACAGAGTACTTTATTTACTCAGTACTGTGGGCTCAAATGCCGTCGTAAGTGCTCGTTTGTTACAGCGGCTCATGCAGAAAAATATCGATCGCCGTAGAAATACAAAATATTCCAAAAACCAAATTTGATACATAGTTGACCAAGCTAAGATATTAACTATTATTATGTTTATAATCACAGATTTTGATTACAATATTTTGTTTTGCTAAAAGCACGTAGGATTTTTAAATTAATATACTTATACGTCTTGGAATTTATAGACCTGAAGGTGTGTCGGTATCAGCTACTGGAACTCCTCGAAGAAGAGAACTAGATGTGCGGAGTTTGGGCTCGTTTTGTTAGTTATGATGAGACCATACCTCCGGACTTGATAGAGTGACTTGAAAATGTACTTTGATGACTGCTACTGGAACTCCTTGACGAGGAGAACTAGATGTGCCGAGTTTGGGCTTGTTTTGTTAGTTATGATGATACCTTACCTCCAGACATGATAGAGTGACTTGAAAGTGTACTTCGATGACTGCTACTGGAACTCCTCAACGAGGAGAACTAGATGTGCCGAGTTTGGGCTCGTTTTGTTAGTTATGATGAGATCTTACCTCCGGACTTGATAGAGTGACTCGAAAGTGTACTTTGATGACTGCTACTGAAACTCCTCGACGAGGAGAACTAGATGTGCCGAGTTTGGGCTTGTTTTGTTAGTTATGATGTTACCTTACCTCCGGACATGATAGAGTGACTTGAAAGTGTACTTCGATGATTGCTACTGGAACTACTCGACGAGGATAACCAGATGTGCCGAGTATGACTTTGTTTTGTTAGTTATGATGAGACCTTACGTCCGGACTTAACGGAGTGACTTGAAAGTGTACTTTGATGACTGCTACTGAAACTCCTCGACGAGGAGAACTAGATGTGCCGAGTTTGAGCTCGTTTTGTTAGTTATGATGAGACTTTACGTCCGGACTTGACGGAGTGACTTGAAAGTGTACTTTGATGACTGCTACTGGAACTCCTCGAAGAGGAGAACTAGATGTGCCAAGTTTGGGCTTGTTTTGATGTTTGCTTGTTATGATGAGACTTTACCACTGGACTTGATAGAGTGACTTGAAAGTGTACTTTGATGACTTGTACTGGAACTACTCGACGAGGAGAACTAGTGTTGTGCCGACATCAGGGCGTCAAACACCTCAGTCCCCCGTGACCACGGGTGCTGGAAAGCACTCGAAACGTCGGGAATATAAAATAGGTTAATATACGCGATAAAATCCGTAAAATTAGTTTTATTTAAATGTTATACGTAATTTTTTTAATGCGCTTAAGGCATGCACCATTGAATTTACCAATAGTATTTAAAATTGTTATAAAGTACTTAAAACATCGGGAATATAAAATAAGTTGTTAAGTTAATAAACGCGATAAATGCTCTACTGCTGGCTGAAAGGTCGATTTTGATGGCTCCATGGCGCAGTGGCTTAACATGAGTGAGTTGCGGCGCTAAGGGCCGCGGGATCGAATTCCACACGGAATAAGTATTTGTATGACTTACAAATAATTGCTGTTGTCTGAATGTTTATCCTTGTGCAATTTATGTTTGGTAATTGCCGCCATTAACCATGATGCAGAAGAAAATCCTAGCGTTCTATCCTAACGCTTTCTTAAAAAAAATCACGTCACATGTTATAAAATCTGTCACAGGATCAGTGAACGCGAACTGCACGCGATCTGCACGGACCTGGTACTAAGCCAGCTGATCTGCCCGGCCATAGTGAGCCCGGAGGCGCACGGAGTCGTGGACGTACCTGTTTCTTACGTGGCGCGCTTCAACCTCATACAGATTGCGCAAATCCTGCAGATGCTCTGCCTGGCCTGCTATCAGGAGGTGGGTGTAATATAATATATTTCAATGCTTTGTTAATCTAGTGGTCGTAAGCGTGACTGTTGATCATTTGGTGTCACGCGTTTAAATCCCGGGTCTGCTCAAAATATCAGTAATTGGGGTTTTCTGTCAAGAAATGATCAGTAGCGGCCTGGAGTCATAAATTTGTCGGTGTTTCACACCTATGCCTTGAGAAATACGTAAAGTCGTCGGTCCTGCGCTTAGCTCTTTCCGTCTTTGACGCATTGCCGTCAAATCGGAGTATTACATCGAGGAAATAAAACGTGCAGCTGTGCTTGCGCACATACTCGTGCACTACAGTTCTGTCCTGCGCAAGCTAAATCTACTAGTAGTATAGTTATTTTTCTTTTCTTAAAATTTTCGGAGCGCGCATGCATTTTTTATTGTTTGCGACATAAAAAAAATTCGACTTAAGGTGGATGCTTCGATAGCCCGCCCATACATTTTTGTCTGGACATATACGCTAAACACAGACACTATTTGTTTAAAACTAATCATGTTATCACTTTTCTACTCTGAAATGTGCACGCGGTTGACCTTATTAGGAAAGAACTTACAGAATATAATAAGAAAAACAATAGTGAATAATGAAAACATAAAGAAAAAAGAAAAACTTTTTTCTTTCACGCCATCTAGTGTTCAATCTTCGTAAACATATGGACTAGAAATTCACCCACGTCTGTGTATGTAATTGACACTATATTCAATGACAGATGTTATTTTAGGGCTTTGTGCCGAATTGTGTTGATTTTGAGGCTAGAGGAGGATATGACCTACAGTACAATAAAGTATAATGTCCGAGTACCCCAGTAGCTACTTCTACGACTTAATAATGTTCCAATTACACAAAAACCCAAATAAACTAAAAAACGCTGACCTCAGCGCCATCTCGCGGGAATATGGCCGAGAGCAGACTGTATGTTTCACCTTAAGGACGTATATACGTTCCAAGCGGTGATTAGCTGAAAACAGTACTTTTCAAACATGTTAATTACTCATAAATTTAGGAAATTTTATAATCTAAATAGTTATAAAAGATTTTTTTATGTTAATACAGTATTTATGGAAACTAAACCGAGGTTTTCGTAAATTCTCATTTAGCGTCAATTTCAAAGCTTAAACTATCTGAAATGGCTGAAAATTTTACGAAAAAAGAATTCAATCAATTTGACAAACCCCATGAAAAATTTTACCAGCAAAGTTTAATTGATTTAGGTTAAATACGTAAGAAATTAAAAATTCAAAGCAAGTGAAATTGTTATGAAAATGATGTGAATAAAACGATTATTTCCACCAATTTATGTTACTGAATTTAATAAAATAATAGGTTAATATATTAGAAGAACTTATTTTTAACCCTGATGTCTTAAAATTAAAAATAAAATAACTTTATTACTTTTCTATAAATATTTTAATATTACCATAAAAAACTCCGGTACTCTCCCCGATTCTATGTGAGTGATATTCCAATAATACCAGATACTCATCTTGCATTATATGCAGATGGGAACAAACGGCGGAGCATCGTATGTTTGAGACTAAGAAAGAAGAGGTGGAGCATGTAAAACTCATCGGAAATATCTCATCTCAAGGAATACCAATGAAAGCCGTAATTGCAGACGCATGTTGAGTAAACGTTCATAGCGCACAGCTACGATGCTTCCTCTAACGCAGCGATAATTGATGACCACCATAGTACACTGTGGGTTGAAAAGTTGTTAATATTCTGTCACATGTTTCCGATCAGAAAACAAAGGAATTGAGCCACCAGATCATATGCCATTCAAGAATTTTTTTGGGTTCAACAGATAAAAGGTCTTTGTCAGACCACGGACCTATAAATACTTGAACTTATATAACAGTAGGTAAAGTCCCCAGCATAGAAAAAGCTAGGATTGGGTCGACAGCTATTGTCTTATCAGGAAATACTACTGAGATTTGGAGTTTCGTCACGGCGTAGTAGACGTATAGTACAAGATATACCTAGTCAGGTCATAAGTATTGTCACACAGTAAAAACTTTTCTTTTAGAATGCTGGCTACAAAAAAGTTTATTGAATTCGAATTTCGAATTGTTCATGAAAATAAAACTGTATACTTTTTAGAATTTTACTCATTTTTAAATATGGAGTGGACGCTTAAAGAAGACCGTGTTGCAGTTATTGCGTTGCATCGTTGCGGTTACGCGCCAATTCAAATTTTTGACATACTGAAAAATTTGAATATAACCAAAAGATTCGTTTATCGTACCATCAAACGATACAATGAAGACTCTAGTGTAGATGACAGGCCAAGAAGTGGTCGCCCTCGGTCTGTTAGGACTCCAGCAGTGATAAAAGCTGTGAAGGCGCGAATTCAAAGAAATCCCAAACGTAAGCAGAAACTGTTGGCCCTTCATATGGCGTTAAGCAGAACCACGGTGAAAAGGGTGTTAAATGAAGACTTAGGGCTTCGGGCATACCGAAGAAAAACAGTAAATCGTTTGAATGCTCGTCTAATGGACCTGAGACTGAAGAGATGCCGCGCTTTGTTGAAGCGGTACGCGGGAAAAAATATCGGGAAATTCTTTTTTCGCATGAAAAAATTTTTACCGTAGAAGAGAGCTACAACAAACAAAATGATAAGGTGTACGCACACAGTAGTGAAGAAGCGAGCAACCGTATTCCGCGTGTCCAACGAGGTCATTTTCCATCCTCGCTCATGGTATGGTTGGGAGTTTCTTATTGGGGCTTAACAGAGGTACATTTTTGTGAGAAAGGTGTAAAAACGAATGCAGTTGTGTATCAAAATACAGTCCTGACGAACCTTGTGGAGCCTGTTTCTCATACCATGTTCAATAACAGGCACTGGGTATTCCAACAAGATTCGGCGCCAGCTTATAGAGCGAAGAGCACACAAGACTGGCTGGCGTGAAATCGACTTCATCCGGCACGAAGACTGGCCCTCCTCCAGTCCAGATTTGAATCCGTTAGATTACAAGATATGGCAACACTTGGAGGAAAAGGCGTGCTCAAAGCCTCATCCCAATTTGGAGTCACTCAAGACATCCTTGATTAAGGCAGCCGCCGATATTGACATGGATCTCGTTCGTGCTGCGATAGACGACTGGCCGCGCAGATTTAAGGTCTGTATTCAAAATCACGAAGATCATTTTGAATAAACTTTAGTGTCATAAGAATCTATGTTTTGTTAAGTTCATTTTGGTATATAAATGGCTACATAATGAACAAACTTGTTTCAATTATTTTATATTAAACATGTGACAGAATTTATGACCCGACTAGGTACTTTGCTTACATAAATTAGTATACTACAATATTGAAATGAAATAGTAGGGTAGTAGGGCTAGGTAGTACAAAAATATTAAAAAACAAAATCAACAATGATTATGAAGAAAACTATCAGAAAGGGTCTAGCTCACAAATTAGCGAAACCGGACTGATTTTTTTGTACTAACGTAAGTACAATAGTACAATATTTTAATCGTTTGAATGTTGTGAAACTTCTTTGTAGTATGCATGTATGTATGTACGTCAACTTGATGACTTTAGTCAAGAATGACTTAAGTAGTATCAGGTTTGAAATTGTAGATCTATCCTTGAAGAAACCATCTTGAGACTAGCTTCAGCTTCGCCCGAGTAACGGGTACACCTGCTCATAAACCAACTTTACAAAAACTTTAGAAATGATGCACAGCTTAGAAATTGGTCTATAGTTAGTGACCTATCTTTTGCACAGGGGTGATGTACTTTTCCAAATATAAGGAACTGGACATTCATATAACGGTTTGCGAAATATCAAACTTATTGGTTGTGCTATCGTTTCTGCACAATTAATAGCCGCCTCTATACATACGCTCTTTAACGTGAGAATGAGTTTACGCGCGGGAAAGAACGCGCATGTAAAAGTAGAAAAGGAGAACGAGTAAGCACGTGTGCGCCGCCCGCTCGCGCATCCCCTCATACCTTAGTCGTGCGAACAAGTCTGTGCGCTTCAAACATAATTTACATGCACGGTTTTGTACAAACGATCGTCGTAGAATGACGGACATTAGCCGGATCCACGCCGGACGATCGCGGCATGGAGCGCGCTCCACGGAGCGTGTAGTGTAGACGTGCCGCGCGCGATCCATGTTCGCGGCGGAGAGCGCGCGTTCCTCGCCGCGTGCGATCCATTTGTTGTCGGTTTTTTGGTCACGCACAAAGGGGCCTCAGTCGCTTGGCGCGCGCGGTCTGGACGGTTGTGAGAATCGCGTGATCCGCCGTTATGGATAATTCGCAATGTATCTATTTTATTTCCCTATATAGGGAGAATAAATGTTTATGGGATCCTAATGATACCAATTACACAAATAGAGGTGTAAGAGAAGATGCCTGGCGGAAAATTAGTCGGCAAATGAACAATATTCCAACAACAGAACTAAAGAAAAAAATGAAGTCTTTGTCGGGTGGCTACAGAAGAGAACGATTCAGAGAAAAACAGAGCCGTATTACCGGATCAGGTAAGAAATTATAGTTCCTTTTGTTTTATAATTATAGTTCAGTACATAACCTGCCACTCTTAGTGAAGTTTTAATTTTAATTTATTAGTAATAATAATAAAATGTATTGTTTAAAACTCCACAACGTAGTAACGTAACTTAGTTTGTGATAAAAAGGTATACTTAAATGCTTGACACTTGACAGATGACAGGTGGCTTAAATTTGTTTGTATTATTTTGTGTTATCTGTGTAGGTAATGTTTTCTTTTGGTGTCAATAAAGTATATTTGTATTTATGTAATAAAATTTATTTCTTATTATAATCTAGAACTTAGGGAAAAGATAGTTTTAAATAAAATACATAACTGAACTACATTATATTCTTCTTAATGCAGCTAACTTATAAAACATATAAACACAGTACAATTTATATAAGTTTATCGGTACTCATTTTGCCAAACAATGGCCCCGTTTGTTATAAAGTGTCTTGCTAAGTGGGACCG